CTCCAGCTGCCCCTACGCGGGGCTGCCGGCCTTCCCGCCCCTCCCGAGAGAGCCCGGCGCGCCAGCTGGAGGCCCCGGGCCCGGAAGGCGACCTTCCCAACCGCCTCGCAGGACTGCCAGCGCCGTGGCCCGCGCGGCAACCGGCGGAGGAAAGGTTCACGACAGTGCTCCCCAACCTTGGCCCTTCCCAGGCGCGTGGACTTCAAATCCCACAATTCCACAGCCAGCATAGCGGCCGATGGGAATTCTGGGAGCTGAAGTCCACGTACCCGGAAGTCGCCAAGATTGGAAAACGTTGCTTTACAACAACCCTGCAAGGTCGCCCAGTCCATTCTGCCCCTCCCATTTGTGCGCGGCCCCGCTAATCTGCTCCTGCAACGTCACCTTATGAAAACCGGGCCGATCAGTCCTTGAGAGGCGGGGCCTAACCTTCGCGTTACGGAAGTACTCTATTTCTGACCACGCCCGCCAGAGGCGCGGCGCGAGGGTGTGACGTCACTACAACTGGCCGGCCTAGGAGCAACGAAACGGCGACCGCAGCTTCCTCACCTGTTGCATGGCTGCCAGCTACCGACACCACGGCAGCGGCGTCGCCATAAGGGGGCGCAAAACCCGCCACCGCCGCCGGTCGGAGAGCCGTAGCTGTCCCCCGCTCGAGGGAGGGTCGCGCCAGGCTCCGTACGAGCGCACGTACTGCGCAGGCGTCGGAGCAGCCCTTCCCCGCCTCCCCGAAGGAGGCTGGCGCGCTGGTGTCACTGGAAAAGCAGCCCGGCGTGCAGCCGAGCGCGTGGCCTTCAGTTCCGCCTCTAAACTTACTCCCGCGTCTCCCGGAAGCGCCAGGTTGGAATTGCGCAGACCGAGGCCTTGCAGCTGCTCCAACCTGGCACCCTCCGTAAGGGCTAGGCTTTAACGGGCTAGCTGGCCGGGCTGTAGGCAACTGCCCTCCACCAAAATATGCTTCCCTTGCCTTGTTCCATGGATTCTCCAAAACTGGTGAGAGGACCAATGAGGGTCATAGGCTTTGTTCTTCTCCAGAAGCTATTTTATTGAGGGGCCAAAATCAAGACAAGCTTGTTCCTCAGCCTTTCCTTTTTTTAGTAGAATATGAATATTGTCTTTAAGACATATTCTCTGAAAGGCATTGCACACTTTTTCAGGTGTCCTATGAAATCCTCTTTCTTCTGAGCTGGGATTGATAACCCCCCAGTGCCTCCAAGCATAGCTTCAAAACCTGGTGGGCAAAATGCAGGCCTCAGTCAGAAGATTCTCTACTTCCAGAAACAAGTCAGTGTCAGAACCCCAAATGATCAGAATCAATGCAAGGGAACTGGTGCCTCAAGTCATGATGGCCACCGGCTTTGATATTGTTGAAAGAGTGGACCACCTCAGTGAGGAGAAGGCATTCAATGAAGGCTACATATAGGTCAGTGCCAGGAGACTTGAATGGAAGTTGCTGCCACCCTCACATCCTTCCTTGTGGGTTTCAGCTCAGTCACTATGGGAGACAAGTGCTGGGACTGCATTGGCTTGATCCACCTCATCCTCATCTAACTGTACTTAACCCTGTTCTGACACTCACTGTGATGGAATGGTTTGGTGAAGGCCGCGCTCAGGGAGATAAGCATTTCCTTAGCCCCCAGCAAGAGCGAGGGGCGGTTAAGAGGATGAGACTGGCACCACCCTAAGGAATTTGCGGTGTTTGCTTGCTGGCTTGGGAAGTTTAGATTCAGTCTCGCAAGGTTGTCTTGTGGGTGAAAGCTAATAAAAGCTATCTGGTGGAGTTCTTTGGGCCGAACCTGACATCAATCTTGCCAGACTGAATCTAAACTTCCCAAGCCAGCAAGAACACCACAAATTCCTTAGGGTGGTGCCAGTCTCATCCTCTTAACCTTCCCACGCTCTTGCTAGGGGCTAAGGAAATGCTTATCTCCCCGAGCGCAGCCTTCACCAAACCATTCCATCACACCCACCTAGAGTAATCTTCAATAGATTGCAATGAGGAAGAGTAAGGGAATGTCAGTGTTCAAGATGGCAATAGCATGGCTTCTGTTTGCGTTGGACAAATAGCCTGATGGTAGTCTATGTGGGTTTGTCACATTTGCACTGCACACAAATTATGCTTGGTTTTAATCTGGGGGTTGTGTTTTTATTCTTTGTGGCTTAGCATTTTATATGAACTGGGTCAGTGTAGTTACTTTGTACTGTAATCCAGTTTTCATATGAAATGCAAAAATGGAATTAAGTAAACTTAAGTAATTAAGTAGGTCATATGACCACGATTAGCGATTTCCTCTTCCCCTGTATATTTTGCCCATTGTTAAAACTGAACTTTTGTGTACCTCTTCAGCAGTGATGGATCTGAACTTGAGGCAGTTCTAACACGCAGAGTTTTTGTGACAGGAAGCAAAATACTGTTACAGTCAAATATTTTACAGTGACAGTTGCACATTTCCAACTGTCTGCATAATCTCTTGTGTTTCGGTTTCTATATAGAAGCACATCTAAGCTATTTGCCCCAATTCTGTTTAATAGCTTTAGAGGATGAAACATGAAAACCTTTTTGGAGAGAGAGGAGAAACAACATCGAAGACAGCCTACAACCACATCAGCACTTCAATATTTATACTTAGCTTTATTTAAAGTGATTTTAGTGCTTGTGATAAATTACTGTGGTATAAAGAGTCCAGTAGTCTCTTCTCATGGCTGGCAGAGACTGTTTTGTGATTCATCCAGTCCTGGCAACTGCCATCATCCTGTGCTGTGGGGGGTGGGAAAGGAAAGCCAAGTCTCTTTCTCTCTCCATCTCCAAGGCAGACACTTCCAAGTCAAAGGAATGAGTTCCCAAATGCAAGCCAACATCTTCGCTGAACTATCATGGTCTGGAAGGAAGCCATAGCAACTGGACTCTATGCCAGCCAAGCAATGGTGTTATTAGCCAATTACTGAGGGGAGATGGCCACCCATTTTCCACAAAATCATCTGGCAGCCCTTTCTCCACATCTGCCAGTTGCAGCCAGGACTAAGAGCTCCCTCAGGAAGAGTTTCAGAGTCGGAAACACAAGGAGAACCTCAGCATCTGTCCAGAGATAGGTGGGCAGCATCCTTCTCCAGCTTGGATGTGGCATTCCCATGTCATCCTCCCCAGCAGACTTATTTCCTCACCAGTCTGGGCTGCTTTCCTTCCAAGGAGGACAAGTAAGTCACAGGCATGCTGGGAACCATGTCTTTGGCATCGTCCCTCTCTATTTAAGAGAAGTCACACCTACGCTTGCAGCTCCATGCTGTGCTCCCTGAGCAACGACTGTTTTCTTAGATTGAGTCGAGCGCATTTGGGGCATGTTGTGGAATTGTCATAAAAGCAGTCCCTGGGAGAGGAAAGACAAAGGGCTTGTCAGCTTCCCACTTCCGGAGGAGCCAACAGCCAGCTGGCTTCCACAGATCTTCTGTCGTTTAGCACTAGAGATGGCAGCAGGTGGCCACAAATCCCTGCACTCACCTGTGGAAGACGGCCGAACAGTCCGTGCACATTGAGGTGTGGCTGTCAAAGGGGAAGAGCACATCCCCCTCCTTACAGAGCTCACACACAAAGCCCTTCGCTTGGCACCGCTGCAAGAAGGAAAAAGGGAACCTGGTGAGTTCCAGTCCCAGTGATGTGCCCTTCACATTTCCACCACCCTTGTACTGCCAAATACCTGCAACACCCACATAGATACACAACAGCGGGGTGCTAAATACGAGTGGGGGGGAAGAATTTTACAACACAAAATATTCTAGGGAAAAGGAAATTTTATGGAAGAAAGGAGAACATGATAGAGCTCAACGTGGTAGAGATATCTGAGTTTCTTGAAAACCAAAAATCAGCAAGGTCAGCATCTCAAGAGATTTGAACCAGGGGCTTCTGAGGAAAAGGACTGATGGGAGAACAACAGAAAGCACCTCTTCATGTAAGACAGCGCATGGAACTGTGGGCCCCTAGCTCAGCAGAGGCAAGCCAAGGGGTAGAAGCCATCAGGGGCTACTAAGTTAAAAGACGACGCCCAGAGTTGGAAGGACTGTGTGGCAGCTGTGACTGATAGCCATGGAGACCTTGTCATTCCTGAATCCACTCATTCCCTTTCAAACGCATCTAAGTTGGTGTCCCTGTCTCACAAGAGTAAATCCCCCAGTTTAATGATGTCCATGTTTTCTTCTTTTCATTGTCATCACAGTTATTGGAAGAAGCAGATTTTCCCATTACAAGAGAGGAAGTCGCAAAGCCTGAAGCTCCTCTGTTCAGAGGCAAGACACTGAGGAATGACGTTCTGCAGGGGAGCGGACTGGTTTCCTGTCCTGTCAGTGGCTTCCAGTGAGAACTAGCTGGCCACCAAAGAAAATGGAGTAAAAGGCTCACAGGATGTCAGCCCCACTAGGTAGACCAGACTGGGAAATCAACTCCGCAGGAAGACTAAAACTACTTTCATTGACAGGGGCTCTAATAACAGAATCTTGCAAGTCGGATTGTGCTGCGCCTCCTCCCCTTCTTATACTCCGGTGAATCAGGGAGGCCTCTCTCTCAGCCACTTCCAGATGTTATCTCGCAGTTTTGGCCTTAAAAACAGTGTTTCAGACCCTTTTGTTAGGTCACAGTTCCCGCATATCTCCATCAAGGTCCTCTTCCTTACTCTCTACACCGGCTTACTCCTGTTTTTATTCAAACCCTGCAGCAGCTGGCGGTAATGACAGGGCCAGAGGACCTCTTCTCTGCTGGACTGCTGCTTCCCGCCCCGCCTTACCTCACAGTCCAGTTTGATGTGCTTGGCAAACAGCGTGTGGATCTCCGTCAGGGAGCAGCTGAGGCGCCCGGCATGGACATCCATCAGGTCTTGCAGGGAGTACATCTCATCATTTTCCACAAAGTGCTGCCGGTCCTGCAGCTGGAGAGAGGGCACAACAGTTTAGTGTTCCTGCCTGTTGGGAAATGCAGAGTAGGGGAGGAGAGTGAAGACAAAACACGGGGCGGGGGGGGAAGTAAGCAAGAAGGCTGGGAGCTCTGGGCCAGATGGTCTCCTCACACCCCCAACTCCCACCTAGACAAGCAGAGCACCTCCAATTCGGCTGTGCAACCCCCCCAGCCCCCCTCTTTCGAGAGAGCCACTGGGCCTTAGTCGGGCAGCTGCTTCCGCCTGACCTGCAGCAGCAGCCGGGTCTCCATCGCCTCCTTGCAGGTGATGAAGTAGGGCTTCATGAGCAGGATGTCCTGACGCAGTTTCTGAGGGGGAGGAAGGAGACGGCTGGGCTGGGCTGGCCTGGAGAACCCGACTGAGCGGCTTTTGCCCAAACCCACGCTCTGTTTCGGTGTGAGAGCATCCGCATGGGACCTGATGCTTGAGAATCCCAGGGCCACCTACAACTCCGAGGCATTCTAGGCCCAACTCCCACCCCTCAAATACTCACCCGGATCTCCACCAGCTCCTCAACATAATTGAAGAGAAGAGGGTTGATCTCACGCAATTTGAGGACTGGCCGGGACACCATTAGCACCAGGTAGCGCATGCTACACCGAGAGACCTGAAAATCGCATTTGCCTATTGAAGCAGACAGCAGCAGCACGCTGCCGGGAAGGTCTGCAACTAAACAGCCCTGCAGGCCAGGTGCCCTCCTGCTTGGTCTGGACCACCACTCCATCAGCACAGCTGGCCATGCTGCTGGGGATGATGGGAGTTACAGCCCAACACAACTGAAGGACACCAGGGTGGAACAGACAAGCATACTGGCTCTGCTGCCTGGTTCACAGCCGTGACACTGGCACATTTCATTCCCAGCCCCAGGCTGGGTGGAAGGGCTCCCCCATCTTCGGCTTCTCTCTCTTTGATGCTTCCCGAAGTGACTGCCCCTTGTAGCTCTCCTTACCTTACCTCCTCTGGTTGGAGGAAACTTCGCCCACCCCCCGCCCCACCTACCTTGCGGGGCTCAAAGTCCCAGTTGTGGATGACCCTGGCAGGGATGACAGCTTGGTCGTTCCAGTGGCAGCTGCTGCAGTAATAGAGGCCTGTGTAGTCACACTGCCGAGCCTCACCTGGGATCCCACCTGTAGCAGGAAGGAGCGGAAGTCAGGTGAGCAGCGAGGCACTGAGTCCTCGGGAAGCCGGGCAGGTTCTAGGTACTGGGGCAATAAAGCACCACCTTATTACGTGGACTCCAGTCTTCCCCAATTGGCGGTCTCCAGACAGCTGGAGCAAGGGAGGCCACCTGGAGTCACATCGGCTCATGAGACCCAAACGGCCGGAAATGGTCCTTTCCAAGCCTTTTGCTGCAGAAGAGCCTTTTCTGGGAAGGATCCTGGACTGAAGCTAAGCCTTCAGGGGTGCAAAGCACGAGCAGCACCCTGGGGCCACTTCCAATTCAGTCTCCCTCCCCACCAGACTTACGGAGAGAAATGGGTGCCCGGCACTCGGCACAGCGGTAGTCCTGGCTGTCCAGCCCCGTCTCCGGGCAAATGCTCAGCTCGTACTCGGCCTGGTGGCTGACCTTGGAGCGCACACACGGCTTGGTGATGAGGTTCAGGCACTTGCTGTGGCAGCGATAGGAGCAGCCTGTGGGGAAGGAGAAGGAAGTGCCACCCTGACACAAGCACGTGGCCCGGCCTCCTTTCCAGGGACACCTCACAGCGGCTTCTCAACCCTCTTCAGAGTGCCCCCCTCAAAAAAAGCAGCAGAGGCTGCCAGCCCCTGAAATCATGGGGGCGGGAGTTCCACAGGACAAAAAGAGGATGTGTGTGTAAGAGATTACGGACACGATAGCTGGAATAACAGAGAGGCTCTTCTGTTGACTCGGCTCCATCCTCACGATGGCTCCACCTTTCAGGGTGAGTCACACCTGCCCTCGTCTTGCTCAGCCCATGGGGCAGACAGGCCAATCCGCACCTTTGCCAGAGCCCGGGCTCCGTGGCAAAGCGGGGGGCAGGGCATGCTCACCCGTGCAGGTGTACCAGGTCTGGAGGAGCCCCCAGATGATGGTGTTACACTTGTCGCACGTTTGCTTCACACCCTTGCTCTTCTCCTTGTAGAAGCGATGCTCCAGAATCACCCTGATGTTGGGCTCATCCTCGCTGGGGTCCTGCAGTGGGGGAGAGGGTGGTTGCAGGCCTTCTCCTATGGCTTCGGCACCCACAAGCCAGAGCCCTAAACTTTGTCACAGAAGGCTGCAAAGCAGCAGTGGGCAGATTGCATGAAACGCCTTGTCTAGCCCAATTTAGGGTATTAACTCACTTGCCAGCAAGGAAGATGTGGGGCGTAATCCAACACATCTGGAAAGCAAAGTTCTAAAGGATCCTCACACTTCCAGAACATCAGATCTGGGGAATCTAATACGTAGCCGCCGTCATTGTCCCACTGCCACTTTGGCCCCACTGTCCTGATCTCAGAGCCCAAGTGTGGGGCCCAGCCTTGGCGCGGCCCTTGCCCTCCAAGCCAAAAGCCCTCCCCCTTAACCCCGGG